CGAACGCGTTGGTTTTAAATCCCTGCGACGATCGCAGTTCGCCCCGCTCGCTTCCCGTCGCTTTCCCAAGGCAGACGCGCTCTGACTCCTGCTCCAGATTCCCGTCCCCTGTGTTGTCTTTGGAAGGCCGACCGGGTGCCGCCTGCCATCCAGGTGGTGACGCCGCGCCAAGGTGAGCCTCGCCGACGGACCTTCGCCTAGTTCTCACGGAGCAGGCGCTCGGCGCGTCCGCCTCGGTGCCAGGCGTGGCTCAGCGCCAGACACCCAGCACCTGCCGCTGGGTGGGGACGGTCCTGGAAGTGAGGGGACGGGATTGGCACAGCTTCCCCCCCTCGGGGACACACAGCACACGGGCGCGGGAGACAGGCCTCGGCGCAGTTCGACGGGGGCTCCCCAGAGCTGGGCCCGGGGGGTGGGAACCGGAGGGGGTGCACCCTGCCCTCCTTGGCTACCCCATCGGCCTGATCGTCCAGAACAACAGATGCCTTATCGTCAAAGGTTACCGACCGGGGTTAAGTCTGCCAGTAGTTTTCCTTCTCTCTCTCTTTTCTATTCCTTTTTTTTAAAAAAATGTCCTATAGTTTTATATGCCCTGCTTGGTAGTTCTCATATTTTGGTGGCTAAATGTTTAATTACTAAGACTTAAAAATATCATTTCAGTAGTTCACATTTTAAAAAAATATATACATTTTGTTGATTTCAGAGAGAGGAAGGGAGAGAGAGAGAAACGTCAGTGACGAAAGTCGTTGATCGGCTGCCTCCTGCAGGCCCCCAGCTGGGGATCGAGCCACAACCCGGGCCTGAGGCCTGACCGGGAACCGAACCCCGGTCGCCTGGGTCCCAGCTCGCTGCTCGACGCTGAGCCACGCCGGCCGGGCTGTGGTTCACACGGGAGTTTCCGATTCACAGGCGGCAGCTCTGAGCTCTGACTTTTCAACTGGACAGACTCAGGAAACAGTGCCTTTGGGAGCCCGTGGGCCTCGGGCTGAGGAGGGAGTGGCAGGGCCACGGGGACCCTCACGCTTTCCCCGGAAGCAGGGACCGTGGCCGCGCCATGAGTCCCGC